CATCGTCAATCACTGTCAACTTAAAGAACCCGTAAAATAATTATGATAATTTTGGTATACTTAGGCTACGGTATCAAAGCCTTTTCTTTTTGCTAACCCAACCGCTAAAACTCCTGGCTAGTATTGCGTTGACTAGAGTAACTGATAAGATGTTCATGGAGCTATGTTATGTTAGAAATATCTCTGAGCCCCAGACGGGAACCGAAACTTTATTAAACTTCTGATCAGCGCTGCGACACCGCGTAGTTAGGCAAGCCTAAGAAATTATGCCAAATACAATGGATTAGCCATCACCAAGAACCTAGTATGACAATAGCTTGAGCAGCCGACCGAGCAATTTTGATCATCCGCTTTACACCGAGCAGCTGTGTAGATTTGCAATCATGGGAAAAACTGTGTTAACCAAATAAAAAATTAATGTTTGTGAGAGTCTGAAATAAAATTGAACTGAATTGAATAATAGAAGACAGACTTTTCCAGTAACCAACCCCAGTAGACAATATAATTTAAATCCTTGAAACATAAAAAAAAAAAAAAAAAAAAATGGATAGATGGATAAGTAAACGTTCTCGGACAATTATTAGTTTATCTGTGCAGCTAATTGGAACAAGATGTTTTGAATGGAACTGTAGTAGTCATAGCATTTCGGTGGATTTGACTGGACAATAGTTATGTTGGATGCCTTTACTGGTGTACGTTGACAACGTTTTACTACTTTCAGCACGTTGTAATATTCATCACCAGTATTCCTAAAGCATCAGGCTCGTATACAACTAAGCCCAAAGTTGCTGAGCGCAACTTCAAGCAAATCAGCCAAGGAAATTGAATTCAAAAGGTTAGGTAAGAGGTTTTAATGAGTTCAGTTTCTTGCAAGAACGTCTTTTTGCGAACAACTGCTTCTAGGATATTTATTTAGGTAGTTTCGCCTTACACTTATTTGTAACTGCCCTCTTTCGATTTCTTACTGTTAACACTTCAATAAACGGCACGTAATGCATGCAGAAGCGATGACTTTTAAAAACTGTTCCTAGAAGATTGGAACATAAGCAGGCAAACTGATTCTTAAGCTTTTGCGCTAGAAATCTCAGAGGTTTACATTTAGGGTAGTCCATTGGTGGTTCATTCACTGTACGTTGGTAGCTGTGTGTAATCTTAAAAGTACACAATTCTACTCTAATCAGTTTTGATCTATTTTAAGTATACTTCCATGGTGGTCTTGTAGCTGGAATGACTAATTTTTTCGCTTGAACTAATGAAAATATTAGTGGGTTATGCTGTTACTTGAGGATATGGGAATTTTAAGTTTTATTTTGATTTGAGAACTACAGTCTTGCATTTTTTAACATTAAAATTTTTGTTACAACCTTAGGTTTGAGAAGGTTCATCCAGAGTGGAGAGTTTCCGAACATAATCACGATGAAGGCAAGATTCATGCATGGTTTCCAAGACAAACAAAACTTCATGGCAGGTTGTTTGCAAAATATCCTGGCACGTTTAAGAAAGGTCTTTAGTTGATATGGAAGATTATTACCTCTGCAAGGGGCATTTATTACCCACTGATTCTAAAGAACAAGATTATGGCCGAGATGTCAACTGGGTAGCATTGCTGAAAAAAAACATGCAAATGCTTACGTGCATGTTTTTAAGTTACAGTGTATTTGAAAAAACTTTGAGACTGCAGCTGTGTGTAGCTGTAACACTTTTAAAGTGTTAAAAGGAGAAAACAAGGAAAAGAATTGTTTTACTGTTTTGAAATTTTAACATTCCCTACTTGTAACTTTATTTAAAGAAAACTTCAAAGTTTCATAAACTTGTGTTTAACTACTTAATATGAAAGTTAAACAAATGTTTCATTGGATGCTTTCACTGAAATGATGAAATAACCGAACCTATAAACACTATTTATAGAGAAGCCACAAGCTTTATAGAAGGTAAAGGTACAAGAATGGGAGATGTTTAAAAAGAGTTTAAAAGGGTTTTTTATGGCATTTGATATATTTTTGGGTGTTTTGATTATAATATTGTGTATATTGCTGTACATATGTCTTCTCCAAGTTATCTAGTGCACATGTACATAAACAAGATGTAACATGATGTTTTGTGTATACACATCATGTGTTATTTTTAAACCGGTCAGACTGTCATATCACATTTTGATTTTTGCTAACAGTATACATATGGGAATTAATACTTTCTTTATTAATATTTACAATATCTTACAATGGACATACATGTATAAACAAATAGTATGGTCAGGGAAAAAATATCCAAATATACAGTACTTATTTTTTTTTGAAAAAAATCTACATTGTCTAACTTATAATTTACATTATATAACAATACATTCGTTAGTAGTTCCCATTACAATGACTGACAAAAAGAAAATGTTATTTGTGTGTACCTGTTGCATGTACATGGTACAGAAAGATGGATGCATGTAACAGAAGATTGCTTATATCATGAAAAATGAAGTGAGAATTGAAAAGAGTTTGACTTGCTGATTTAAATCTTGAAGATCAGAATTGTTACACTGGTTTTTCTTCATCTAAAGTCTGATAACAGTCGTGTAGGTCTAACATTCCTGCCAGGTATATTTGGATGTCTGAATCCTAACTCTGGTAGGTGTTGATCAATGCTCAGAACATTGCTTGTTGCATCCTTTAATAGTTGTCCTCTGCTTTCGGGATCAAAGGTGGTAAACTTCCTTTTCACAGTTAGGAAATCATTTTCCTTATCCATTCCTAAGTTTCCATATAAATATGGCCTTTTGGGTAGAGCAGGTGCAGCCTCTTGGAAGCCAAGAAGGCGTTGGGTAGCTTCAGCCCTATGAAAATAGGAAACAAAGTTGAGGAGGAAAACAAGAAAGATGCTAAATTTTAATGACCCCATCCTTGTTCTTCAAAGACTCTTGGCTATGGGAAATAAATGTGGTTTAGAGTCTAAAATGACCTTTGAAAATGTTGCTATTGAAATGAAACATTTATTCAAGGCTGTGAAATTAATAATGTGAAGTAATTTAAGTAATAATTTAATTAAAGCTGCCAAGCAATACTTGGCTGCAACACTGGTTCAATTTGTAAACCCAAGTAACCTCTCTTCAAAAAAAAAAAACTTCAACTACAATGCAATTTAATTAATGTAATTGTACTGCTACATATGTTTAAATTCAGCTTTGTTGGACCAGCGAAGTCATACCTTGTTACTTTTTCTTCTCGCTCGCTCAGAGTTCTTTCTCTTTCTGTGAGAATTTTCTCTCTCCCTAAGAAAGGTTCCATCTTGCGTTAGTTATTAACTTAGATTTCAACGTGATACCATGCTTAATATTGAACAGATGGATAAATTCATGACTGTCAAATTCTTCAGCGTGACTGATACATACTGTCCAACTCTTTTTGTTTCTCAGTTAGTTGTTTTTCCCATCTTCTAAAGAACTCTTCTTTTTTCCTCCCATCATTTCTATGAGACAACATTAAAATGGAACAAAGCTCAAACGTTGAAAAAAACTGTCACGAGTCTTTAAATGTTCAAGTGTCTTGTTCTCAGGTGCTGCTGCATTTTATCATTAAGAGTGGAAAACGGGGAACAGTTGAGCTCTAGGCTACCTTTTTGTGATAATGCTAGGCACCTTCCTTATATGGAAGTCTGCACTTATTCCGCTGATATATGCTTTTTAATTATAACAACATTATTGTTAATACAGTCAATACAATTTACTTACAGAAAAAGAAAACATTTCAACTTTACAGATACAGACACATGTATGTTACTTATGACAGATTAGATATTTAAGCAAATAGATCTGTAAATATTAATTATTATTTTTATTTTTTCACTGGTAGAAACTTACTGTGGATCCAAGTCTCTCTGAAATCTCTGAAAAAGTGGATTGCATAGAAGTTTGTCTATTGATGGCCGGCGTTCTTCCTGCAAATTGTACCATATAAATTAAAACAAAAAACAAAAAACAAAAAACAGTCAAGACTTTTCATACCAATCTAATGATCCTGATCAACAGTTTAACGTCAACTTAGTGTCTTAGTAAAAAATAATTATTATTATCATTATTAAAAAAATAATTAAAACAGTCTAAACTATAGATTGGAACTTTACGGTAAGTTTATATGTAGGTGTGGCATGACTTTCCATAAAATAATCAAGTGAACATTACATCTTTAAGTGCACTTTACATCATAAAAGATCAAAGAATAATTTGTTCCAAGATGATTAACAGTAGCCTCACAAAAGTTTGAATTTCTTTTTTATGACTTTGCAAACCTACTTGCTATATCAAACTTACATTTACTTTCAGCATTGAATTAACAACTTCACTCAAATCTGGGGAATACTGCTCTGGGATTGGGCGGAACTTTCCTATTCTGATTTTTGCTTCAAGAGTCCTCTGATTCATGGCAGTGAATGGTGGTGACAAGGAACAGAGTTCATACACAAGGCATCCAAGTGACCATATGTCTGACTTCTCATTGTAACTTTGTTTATTCACTTGTTCCTGATAAATAATGGTAATAGGACTGAGTGGAGTCCAATTCGGTCTGTAATCANTCTATCATAATACCGAACAATATGTGGGTGTTTAAGCTCTCTTAGTAGATTCACTTCTGAGACAAGCAGCTGCTTCTCGACCTCTGTCATCTTGCCATAGTCAAGTTCCTTCCAAACCAGAATCTGAAAATAGTATTAATGTTGTGACTCAAGGCTGTGGTCTCAGAAAAATTATGAGGAGCCCAAAGGTTCCTAACCATGAAATCCTGGGTGCCTAGCACTTAAAGCTTATATGAGAAAGATATAAGTTTTTCCAGTCGCCCAAAGGCAAAAGTTAGTCGCCTGTGGCACCCGCACGCTTCCAGAGAACAGCCTTACTGACTTTCAAAAACTGACTTCACAATTTCATGGTTTAAGACCTACTGAGAGCAATAACCTGCAGGTAAGAACTTACATTTTTTGAAGTCTGGCTAAATAGGTTCTTGTATTTTGGGTTAGTTATTGGCAATTTAGGCTAAGTAGGTACTTAATTAATTCTGTGGCAAAGGAGATATAGTTGTTGATTACCAGAAAAATAAATAAACTTGGGTTTAAATATAGTGTTTATTCACAACGGTATTATGGAAAGCCTACACAACTGATTTCAGAATATATATGCAGTGTTGCCTATAGAACAAGAGTTCATAATTTAACTGTAACCCACACATAATTGGTGAAAGTTGACAAAACAGCACTGTCAGTATTTCAACTGTTGTTCTTTCTGTACTCAGTGAACTTATTTTTGGATAATAGTTTTTAAAAACGAGACCATGCACGCAAGACAAAATATATTACTGCAACTTCCTGCGCCAGTTTGGAACTGTACCTTCTTATCGCTTCTCCGCCGTATCTTCTTACATGTCCCGTAAGAACCAGACCCTATTTCACCAAGAATATCGTAATCTGAAAGTTTAGAAGGCATGGCTGTTTCTTCTTAAAATTTACAATGTTCCTTTGGTAGTTGTTTATCGGTTCGCTTGGCTTGACTGTTTATTTTGGATCTGCGAACAAAACAGAGATTAAAACCGTCAATATTTTCTTTATTTGACTACAAACTTGACACAACTTCGACGTGAAGCGAATAAAAACAAACTGGAACAACACAAGATCATTGCTTAGCGAAAACCTACCAACAAATTGTGGAATCTTCGCCCGTACAAGCAACACAATCAAAATGGTCGTGAGTGCATCCTACGCGAACATTCGAACGAAGGCTTGAACTTCGTGCGCTGCTTTCTGATTGGTTGTTATATGTTCACCCGAGATGCTCGGCTTCAAGACGAGGCTGCTGTGCGCCTGGTCAAATTCGCGGGAAATCAAAAAAATCTTCTAAATATCACAAAAATTCTCCTAAATATCTCGAAAAGATACACCGATTTTGAATCACTAAGAACAAAATTTCAAAATTTTCTCCCAGTGGGAGTTAAAAAAGAAGATTCAGACACTTCCATGTTACCAGCATCGGCATCCGCCATTTTGGAAAATTGATATGGAATACATTTTTCAAGTGGGAAATGGCTGAACTGGTTTGTTTCTGGCGTAGAACAGAGTATTTTGTTGAGAAAATAGCGAGGAAAACACGGAGCTAAGCCACAAAGGTTGTGATAATTTCTAAAGATGCCTAAATGGTCCTAAATTTTTAAATATCTCGGAAACGTCTAAATATCTCAAAAAATATCCGGATAGTTGTGGAAAGGCCCATTCCTGCTCGATTAAATTCAAGACCATCCGGGCATTGCTATTTGCGAGGAAAACATGGCTGGCAGTCGGCTAAAAGAAGCAAGAAAAACACTTCACGTGCTGATGTGAGTAGCATTTCCTTGTTTTATAAATTTTAGACATTTTAGGCGTTCTTGGCTTAGCTAACAATCAGAGCTGTCTGTGATTCACTAGAGCTAGAGCGGAAGGAATGCAATGCCTTGTTTGACGTAAACAACATGGCGAGGTTTCGCTTACTCAGATTTATGGCCTGGTTTGCTTGAATTTTAATCGACTCGCGATGTATAAGGACGCTCTTGCTCAGTCCATTTAGGACGATGCATGCCTTCAGATTGCTGTAGATGAGCTCTCTGCCGGGATCTTAACATGTATTCGTTTGTATTGATTTAGACTCACATTTCATGTTGAATTCAAGACCGTGAATTTAGTCTTCCTGGCCACAAAAGGTACACGAGAGAGTTATTTCCTTTTATTTCAGCTACGATAAGCCTTGTCGAAACCTAACTCTAGGAGAAAATTGTGTCAAGATTATCAGTGATTACTGACATGTGAAATTCCGAGCTGTGGCTGTTTTTGCGAATACAGACAGGCACAAATAACTTTATTTTAAAAGGTCGAATTCCAGACAGCTCGTGGACCGTTACAACAATTATTAATGACTAAGATAATAGATAAGTAATCATTCAAACAAGATATAATTACTAATACACAGACAAGATGCAAAATAAATGAAATTAGATAATTAAATAATTAAATAATTCATACACCCCGAATATAACACCATTTCTCCTGATGTTTAGTGGCAAAGTTTTCTTTTCGATGACTTATTAAAACGGAAAAATTTGGTTTGGTTTGGTTGAATAGTAGCCGTGAAAGTAGAAATCATCTCTGTATCATTGACTATAAAACAACCATTGAATTATTTATAGCTGAGTAGTTATCAATTTCGAAAAGGGTTCCAGTGCATAAATAATTATTTGAAAAGTCAATAATATAATTGCATTATACATCATGCGACGCTTTGATAGCTCAAGTGGTAGGAGGAACTAGGAGGTGAAGAAGCTAATCATTGTTTGCCTTGTTAGGGCTGCTGGTTCAAATTCGCCGTAAAGGATTTTTTTCCTCTTCCGTTTTCTTATATCTTTGCTGAGGATAAACAATGGTTGGGTATATCGTTTACCAAGACTTCGCCGTATTTTTTCTTTAATTTCCTCAGGGAAAGGACGCCATGGATGCCGTTAAGTTAATCATTTGGAAATTTAAGGTACAAATACGAACTAAAGTGGACTAACACTTTATCGACACAATCAAATGGTGCGTTATTTGACAAGCAAACTCTTACAAGAAGATCCCTTTCGCTAGAGCTAACTTCCGTATCCTAACCGCTGACAAGTCTACTCCTCCTAACAAGAGATCTGAATTGTAGCCAAAACTGATGCCCTGAATATTAACTCTGTGTAGTAAGTCAGAAATAGGGCTGCCCCACCCCGCCGTTAAGTTAAATTGTCAGGATAAAGATTATCGCACGCGTTGGCTTTGTGCATATAGTCAGTAAAATCTGATATGAGTGGTTTTGGACTAAGACGGAGCTGTGCAGACTATTATTTTCAACTATATAGGCTTGACTCCGAATAGCGTAGACGTAATTTTCGAGTTCCAGGAATTTGAAACTAAATTGCAAAGACATTGCTCCTCGTTAAATCTACAGGCCAAAGATTATCGCACGCGTTAGTTATTTACATGTAGTCATTGAAATATAGGTCGTTTTGGACTTAGAGGGCCTCGACACTAGCTAAGACGGAGCTGAGCAGACTTTGATTTTGAACTGCATAGGCTTGATTCTGAATAGCGCAGACGCAACTTTCGAGTTCCTGGGACTTGAAACTAAATTGCAATGACCCCACCCTTAAGGTAAATCGACAGGTTAAAGATTATCGCACGCGTTTGTTCTGTACATAAAGTCATTAAAATATAGGTCGTTTTTGACTTAGAGGGGCTTAATATTAGCTGATACTGAGATGCGCAAACTTTGATTTTGACCCACATAAACTTGATTGCGAATAGCGTAGACGTGATTTTCGAGTTCCTGGGACTTGAAACTAAATCGTAAAGACATTGCTCTTCGTTAAATCGACAGGCTAAAAATTATCGCACGCGCTGGTTATGTACTTATAGTCAGTGAAATATAAGTCGTTTTGGACTTAAAGGCGCTCGACAGTAGCTGATACTGAGCTTTACAGACTTTGATGTTGCACTACATAGGCTTGATTCCGAATAGCGTGGACGTAATTTTCAAGTTGCCGGGACATGAAACTAAATTTCAAAGACCTTTCCGTTAGTGTTAAATTGTCAGGCTAAAGATTATCACACGCGTTGGTTATGTGTGTATTATCGGTAAAATATAGGTCGTTTTGGACATGGAAAAGGATTAGCTCATTATTTGTAGCTACAATATCGTTGCTCTATTTTAAAATACCCATCTCTTGCCCGAACAAGGTTCGACTAATTTTGGACGGGTGTTTTGTTATGCAATACATTCGATCAACCTTCATCATAAAATACGTAATAATTCATGGCTCATTTAAACTTTGACTTTTTTTATAGGTTTGGTGGAGGAGAAAGATGACTAGTATACTATAGGGGTTTGTAATATTTGAAGTTTTAGTACTGCTGTTTTCATACCGTTTTTTGCACCCTTCTCTTTAGTCACTGGTTCTTTATACATGCATCTCTTTTTTTATGTAATTACGCTTATTTCTTCATTGACAGAAGCAAAAACAACTGTGTCAATCGTATTACATTGTATAATTAGAAGAGACAACAAATCATCAAATAAGTGTAAATTTGATTATTATGATGGGCTTTCTGTTCAAAACAATAAGGGTTTTCTGACCCTGCGATAAGGCGTTTTTTTTATGCAGGGATGGGTTGGGGGGGGGAGGGAAGGGTGGAGTTAGTGTATAATTGACTGATTGAACCTACGATCTGGATTGAGCATTAATTAAAGAATTAATTGATTGAGTATTACTAATAAGTATTACTCAATCAATTAATTAATAATCTAGTAGTTAATCAGTCAATTTATTAATCATTCAGTCAATAAACCAATCAGTGGAACAGATCAATAGCCCTGATTAGTAGTAAATATATGACAAACTGATAAATTGATTGTAGGATCAATCAATCAATCAATCAATCAATCAATCAATCAGTCAATCAATCGATCGATCGATCAATCAAACAATCAATCAATTAAGTAAACTCAAACTACCCAGCTACCCAACTGATCAAGCACCCACCCAACGAATCGCTCAAACACCAAACCAAACAACTCTTACTTGATCAGTTCGTTACCCAGTGAACTGATTAAGAATGATGGTTGACTCAATCTTTCAACCAACTGATCAATCGATCCATCCATCAGTCAAACAATTAATCACTTGGCACATCACGGAATCGTCATCGTCATCATCATCATCATCGACGTCGTCGTCGTCTTCGCCGCCGCCGCCGCCGCCGCCATCATCATCCCTTTTCTCCAACGGGGAAATGGCATCCTAGATAAGTCAAACAATTGAACCCGAAATGTCTCAGTTGATTGAGAAAAAACTGATCGAGTTCTGTAATTGTACCCTCGACTTCTCTGTTATTAAATTTGATTACTATGTATACTGTATGAAATGAAATACAGTAAACACCGTTTTTCCCCTATGTCCGGTCATTTGTTTTCAACTCCCAATAACTCAAACTCCCGATAATTCAAGCTTTTTCAATTTCCGTTGAAGGTTCGGGTTATCGGGAGTTGACTGTATATTGCTAACGAGAAGTCAGTTTGCATTTCGCAAGACTGGATTGAGGATCTAATTGGAGTTTAACGTATAACTGAGAATTGGTCAAAACTGAAAAATGATGCGTTTCAGCCGTTTTTATCTGATAGTCGAAATCTGAGGTCTGCAATATTTACCAATGGCTAAACAATAGACTCATGATCAAATTTTATCTGATAACTGATAACCATGAGTACCTTGTGGATAGCGGGACATCAGTTAAAAGGTGAAATTAATTTTTACTGAGAATACGTGTTTTTTTACTTTTAAAAGGCTCATAATGATCTTGGGTAAATTACGGACAAAAAAAATGTTTATTTTGGCAAATGGCAAGAAGATCAAGTTTGCACATGTAAAGAAGAAAAAAATTCAAGTAAAGTGGGCTTTACTGCAGTTCAATATATTATTTAGATTTTGTGCTCGGTAGTCGGTGGTTGGAAGCAGTGGGATAGATGTCACTGTTGATGTAATGTCAGTATTATGATGCATTCATATTTCCAATTAGCCATTGTGTTTACTTATATCAGTGTTTTTTTCTATTATTTCCGTTTCTTCAAATAGTTTTTAATGTGACGCCTGACAACAAGTTTTTGATAGTGTTCAGATGACAGCAAACGTCATAGAAAAGTTAATCTGTGAAAATTGAGTCAACACACATACATGGAAGTTAAATGATAGTTGATGTCTGTTTATGTATGTCTTACATATTTAGTTTATTTTGCGATTTGCCTCAGTTGCTCTTGTGATAAACAGTAAAGTCGATGGTTGTTCTGCTCCCACATAAAACAATGATTTTGAGAAAGTTGCTTGAATACCAGTGGGAAGTTCTTATTGAACGCCAAAAAATCATTTGATGATTGATAGTTGTAAATTCTAAACACTGATAATAATGGTAATAAAAACTGATAACAATGTGTATGGTTTCCGCCACACCACGCCTCACGGAAGGCTATTAAAACCAATTTTCCATTGAGTCAACTTCCATTAGCGTCATTTAAGGTGGGATATATTTATTTATCAACGAAGTAAATTAAAGATTAGAAGTTTATTTCGGTGCCATTGTTCTTTAAGTCAGTTCTTTCACGACAGGCTGACAGGAATTCAAATGTCTAATAGCCTACATTAAACTTTATTTTTTGGTCTTTTTAGAAAACGCGGAAATTTTATGCCATAAATTTTGGTTATGGAAAAGAAAGAAAACATTTCTAGCTAATGATATTGAAGATTGTTACATTGGTAGAAATAACTTAATAGCTCCAATTTTCCTTTTATTGATTCCGTAGGGGGTCAAGTCAATACAGCACGCGCTTTGCAACTCGTGTCGCCATTGGGCAATAAAAATTGCACGAATGTTTCATAATATTTTGAGAGGAAGTCTGAATTATGATTGTCACGTTACTCTTTGTTTCAACAAGACTGTTGGCTTTACAATAACAAAATAAGTTGTTGGAAGGCCCTGTTGTGCTCATTGGATATCCTTTGGTTGCTAAGTTTCGATTCCGCTTTAAATTTGCCCAATTTGTTGAAGATTCTTCAAACATCAAAACAAATTTCACTTCAATATCGTCCAGATTATAGGTAAGATCTTGCATTTATTTCACGGTTTATCGGTTTTATACTCTGTTCACTATTTCGCCTAATTTACTCATCAATAATTTGATTTTAGGTGGTCAAATTAAAACGACTACACTGACACTGATCGTCAAGACGACAGCTTTAATTCGGTGCAAACCCCACGCACTTTGGCAGGTAAAATAGCCGTCTTGCCCTTTTGGTAGTTATTTTGTAACTAAGATTCGTTTCCATCATGTTTTGTCAATTGGTGATAGCTACTTCATGAAATCACTGGTTCATGTCTAAGCTGGCTGTTGCTCGCTTTTGGTCAAGACTTCTCTAAACATCAAAGATGTCAATATGATTTACAAAATGACAAATCATGTATAAAAACAACAATAAATTTATCAATAAAAGTGAGCAAACAAAGAGAGCGCGCAAAGAGATGTGAATGGAGAAAAAATCTGAGTTTCTTCTTTCACTCACTTACTAAGATTCTTTAATAAGCAGCTTAACGGTGATCCGTTGCCTGATTACATAATAAGTTGTAGATGTTCTCCAATTAATGTTCATATTAAGGGGAAAAAATGTCTCTTTAAGTATTTAATTTCAGCTATTTTTTTGATCATATACAATTTTATTTTCGGAGTGTTAACCACGGCATGTTTATTTTAAGAAGTGCAACGTTGCTCTTTGCTCGCTTATTTCTTGTCCCGCGCGATTCTCGAGAGAAAAAATACCAAACTGATGACGTCATTTTTGTAGATCCGTGTAGTTCTGTCTGATTGGTTGCTGTTGTTTTAAATTTTCGCGCGAAATTAACAACCAATCAGAGACGCTACATGTGTCTCTGAAGAAAATCATCATCACTATTCAATTTTTCAGGTCGGATTTTGATTTTTGATTGATTTGTGCCTATTAATTGGCGGTGTTCGAGTAAGCCCCAGAGAGTATTGATAATGAGAAAAAAAGTGCGAAATGCTGCTTTCGTGCGGGAAAGGATGAGTGCGCAAAGAGAAGCTTGTTTAGCGACATCTCCATACTAGTAAAATCTCTCTTTTCTAGGTATTGAATGACAAATGTGTTTGCAATGGGATGTTCCGCCTCGCTTCATCATCGCGGTGGCATCCTGAATTTGTCAGCTCTCCCTGCAGCGCTTGGATTTAAAACTGTTTCCATTTCCTTGTCTCGTAAAACTAAGAATATTCTAAGAGAATCTTGGAAACTGGTTGAACCTGTTAAGACTGAGGCGGGAAAAGCATTGTTTGTGAGGTAAGTACAAGTTGCTAGTGTTAAATTACAATATGTAGAAAGGAAGCCGCATCAACCTTAACTGGTTTTCATGCGGGTCTTCTATCCTGGCCGAATTAGATTTTGGAGATGTTGGTTTCGGAGAACCCGGGGAGAAACCGTCAGAGCAAGGCGAAAACCAACAACAAACTCAACCCACACATGGCACCGGGCCGGAATTAGGCCCTTGCCACATTGGTGGGAGGCAAGCGATCTCACCCTGCTCCCCAGTGTTGAAATAATGAGTCAAATATTCCCCAGGCTTACTGATTGCCATATACGTTCCCGAGATACAGAAATGAAAATCTCGATTATCCTAGTGAACAACCAGGGCCAGATCTTTTGTCATATTTATATGTAGTAGCTTTAAGTGCGGCAGACTTACAATGCACAGCACAACCACAGTTTATCTCCATCACCAAATATTCCAGACTTCCTTTTCTCCTCTTCCACTGTTGTTGTAACAACTTCCATTGCGTCAAGATCAGATTTAGTATGTTTCTCATCGGAAAGAAAAATACGTTGATTTATCCTCAGGCTTTTCGAAACTCACCCAAATATCCAAGACACCTTTCCATCATTCAAGGGCGTCAGTCTAGACGAACTCATGAACTCCCGTTCACTGTATCTTCACGCCAAGCGAGTCATGGCTGCGGTGGAAAGCACCATCTCCGCACTGGATGATGCTGAAGTGTTGGTAGAGAGTCTCACGAACTTGGGACGAAGACATCGGCCTTGGTCGATAAGGGAGGAACATTTTAAGGTATTAAAAGAACAAAATAACAAACCTTGGCCTGGTTTCTATGATTATGACTCATTTTTATAAACGAGATTTCAACTTAACAGCTATTCGTTTAATGAGAAAATCTCGGGTTCATTGTAGGTCATTTAAAAATGGACGGAACTGGTGCGGAAACTAATATAAAATCGATTCTCAGCCGCACGTTGAATTGGGGATGCGAATTCATATTGAATCATGAGCTGGTTGGTTTCAAGTATCAAGTTATGCTCAGCTAGAGCATTAAATTTTTTCTTATTGTGTCTGCACACACCAGGAAATCTATATTTTTACAGAATCTATACTTTAATTAAGTGAAGTAACTCATGTAATCTTGTTCCACAGGTTGTATGCGAAGCCCTTCTGTGGACATTACAAGACATGCTTGCATCCGAGTGCACAAGTCAAGTCAAAGAGGCCTGGACAGAGCTCTTTGATTTCATAAGCAAAACAATGTTGCGTGAAACTAGAGAAGGGGCTGTCATTACATAATTTTCAGTAATGATCAATATCACTTATCTAAAACATTTCATTTTGCTGCGATCAAAATCCTAACTTTTGACTTACTTGATGTTTTGGAGGGTGTCTGAAGACGCAGTGCTTCAATATCTGTACATGAGAAAGGGATTGAGCGGGCCTGGTTTTTGGTTTTTGTCTGGCCAAACAAAAGTGGCAACCCTGGTTAGCGGAATTACCACCACAAAATTGTTCACGACCGATTGACTGACTGATTTATTGGGTGACTGACTGACTGGCTGACTGACTGATTGACCGTCCTAGCGGGTGAATTATTTCTTCCCCAACTGACTGCTACCTCCCTCACCCGTTAATAATTGTCGTGAATGCTATAAAAAAAATTGAAAAACCCACCCAGAACTCTCTTTAAGTTTTTCAACTTTCAAACTTCCAAGAAATCTCGCGCTTGAAAATCAATGATATCAAAACAGATGGTAGAGAAATGCATTGGTATCACGAAGGTCATCATGACCAGAGCAAGAATGTTAAAGAAGGTGTTGGGGAGAGACTTTCCTTGATCACAGATTGCGAGCACACTACAAAGACCACTTTAAGTGTCTATACGGCCAACAGGCTTTTTGTAGTTTTGGTATCTCTGTAATGTGTAGAAAGGTATTCTAAGAAAAAAAATTGGATTCCGACATTTTAACGCCTTAAAATCTAGCTTTAAAGTTCTGGCTTCAGCCACGCCCAATGAAGTTGACCGTGAGTCAGTCCAAAAAAAGAGTTTAGGTTTCTGAATGGGTCGTGACGTCAAGTCAGGAACTGCCAATTCCTGCTAGTTCAGGTCACTGTTGTTTCAGTAGTGGTGAGGAGTTTTCGTCGACAAAAACAAACAAACTGAAGTTGGTGAAACAATGCGGCTGTCAAGCAAGCAAAATAAAAGCATGAAGCTTTGAGACGTTCCTGAAGTGACGTCATTCGTCACCAATCTTTCATTACGCGGTCAACCTCATTGGGTGTGGCCGTAGCGGGAAATTTAAAGCTTGATTTCATGGTAAAAAAAGCATCGGAATTAATTTTTTTGGTTTGAATACATTTTTAAATGTTATAGAGATACCAAAACCACAAAAACCCAGTAGGCCATATGGACACTTTAACTTCAAAGTCTATTCTGCACCTTCTCCCTCAGGACAAGTCAACTTATTAGCTAGCTAGCTAGCTCTCTTGACATTTCTTGTTCTTTCTGCATGTGGCCAGTGTTCTGCCCCAATCCTGCCCGTTTCCTTTCAATTTCAAAAGCGCGGTTGGTCAAAAACTCTCGACAGCGGTTCAAAATGTCAAGGAGTAGTAAGCAAATAGATTACTACGCGTGCGTCTTGTGAACTAGCATCGAAGTTGCAACATAAGTCACAAAACGATATGAAACATGAAATGAGTTCTACAGGATTATATTATAGGACAAATAAGTCAGTCATATCATCCTCATAAGAGCTAAACGATGACTTAAAGACCGCGAGTCTTCAAAATTTTGGAATTTTTCTGGCTCTGAAATTTTGGAAGTTTTCTGAAGTCCGCGATTTTATTCGTACCATATGAAAAAACTGGATCAGCCACCGGGGTGCTGTGCTTTGGAACACTGCATCCGCCGGGTACTAAATACTAATAATTTCAAGCAATTCTATGCCAGAGTTAGAAAGTACATTCTTATTAACCAAGAAGACTTCAATNCTTTAAGTGTCTATACGGCCAACAGGCTTTTTGTAGTTTTGGTATCTCTGTAATGTGTAGAAAGGTATTCTAAGAAAAAAAATTGGATTCCGACATTTTAACGCCCTAAAATCTAGCTTTGTTCCCGCTTCAGCTAAGCCCAGTGAAGTTGACCGTGGGTCAGTCCAAAAAAAGAGTTTGGGTTTCTGAATGGGTCGTGACGTCAAGTCAGGAACTGCCAAATCCTGCTAGTTCAGGTCACTGTTGTTTCAATAGTGGTGAGGAGTTTTCGTTGACAAAAACAAACAAACTGAAGTTGGTGAAACAATGCGGTTGTCAGGCAAGCAAAATAAAAGCATGAAGCTTTGAGACGTTCCTGAAGTGACGTCATTCGTCACCAATCTTTCATTACGCGGTCAACCTCATTGGGTGTGGCCGAAGCGGGAAATTTAAAGCTTGATTTCATGGCAAGAAAAGCATCGGAATTCATTTTTTTGGTTTGAATACATTTTTAAATGTTATAGAGTTACCAAAACCACAAAAACCCTGTAGGCCATATGGACACTTTAACTTCAAAGTCTATTCTGCACCTTCTCCCTCAGGACAAGTCAACTTATCAGCTGGCTAGCTAGCTCTCTTGACATTTCTTGTTCTTTCTGCATCTAGCCAGTGTTCTGCCCCAATCCTTCCCGTTTCCTTTCAATTTCAAAAGCGCGGTTGGTCAAAAACTCTCGACAGCGGTTCAAAATGTCAAGGAGTAGTAAGCAAATAGATTACTACGCGTGCGTCTTGTGAACTAGCATCGAAGTTGCAACATAAGTCACAAAACGATATGAAACATGAAATGAGTTCTACAGGATTATATTATAGGACAAATAAGTCAGTCATATCATCCTCATAAGAGCTAAACGATGACTTAAAGACCGCGAGTCTTCAAAATTTTGGAATTTTTCTGGCTCTGAAATTTTGGAAGTTTTCTGAAGTCCGCGATTTTATTCGTACCATATGAAAAAACTGGATCAGCCACCGGGGTGCTGTGCTTTGGAACACTGCATCCGCCGGGTACTAAATACTAATAATTTCAAGCAATTCTATGCCAGAGTTAGAAAGTACATTCTTATTAACCAAGAAGACTTCAATNAACGTTTTCGCACCTGGTAATTTAACTTCGGAAATGTTCTGAGAGCTTACAGTTACAGGTAAATATTGTAAAAGGGTGATTTGGCGAAATGCCACGACGTTACAGCTCTGAGGTTTAGCTTGTTGCTTTGCTTTGTGTTCTTATCTTGAGATGTTTACAAGATATGTTATACAAAGGGCGAGTTTCCCTTGTGGACGGGGGAACGAGGTACTTGTATAGTTCCTTTACAACTGAATTATTTTCAGTGGGATTTTGACGAACGTTGCTTGAAATCTTTATCTTCTTCATGACCAAATTATGTTTGTTCATGCTTCTTTTCAACCTTCATCAAAGAAATACTTACAGTTAATTCATTTCTCGTTGTTCGTTTTAACATCCCCAATTAGCTCTTAGCTTAGAGCTGAATACTTATTGACACAAATAAAAGTTTATCCCACTAATCTAAGACAGGCAATGAAACTCGTGCCTCGTTCGATAACAAAAAATGAAAATTTGTAACAAATTTTGTGACTATAGGTCGCCGGAAAACCATATACTTTTTGGCGCGGTGCAGAACTATATAAAGCATATGGATAGAAGTAACTCTTACTGGGTTCTTTACACAGGAAAAACTTCAGTAATAGTGTATTTGGCCAGGCTAAATACACGACAGCTAACAATGCAAATTTATCTTTTACGCATTATCTTATTTGTAAGTAGCGTTATCTTCACCATCACGAGTGTTTGCACAGGTTTTAACTGTAAACAAGAATGTCATCGCCAAAATGTAATTAAAGGGCAAAGTATCTTCAGTCAAGGTAAAAGAAAGACTTCGAAGAAATATCAACATTTCAAGAAATGAAGTGTCCTTGTATTTCCATCTAGCAATTTAGATTTTAAAGTATGTAATGAAAACATATCAAAACGTAATATAAAGCAGTTACCGATTGGGCCTCTCTGTCGAATTTGCTCAAGAGACTCATGCCAAAAACGATTTTCAAACACAAACTGAAGCAGTTTTTAATAAACCATTTTTAATCTTATTTCTAGTTTTAATCCTTAGTTGTAGTCTTAAGTTTTTAGATATTATTATATTGTTTTACATCGCTAATTTTTATTCATTTCTTCATTTATTTTTATTTTCTTTATTTTTCAGAGGACCCCCCTGAAAACTACCACAAAGGTGATTGGACGCCTCCTCCTCAAATATTATTTTATCATTATCTGTTATTTACTTTTCCGTTATCAAGTAACTGTAAAAGCAAAGTCATTTTTACTGCTTATATTATACCTTTTTCAACAATATACACAAGGTGTGTATATTACAGAATATTACAAAGATAAAACTTTTATCATTGCGCTGGAGACACGGGATGAATCACTGTATTCTTTGAGCGACGGCAGTATTCCCGCCAGTGGTGATTCTCGTTTTTTCGTTGTGTTTCAGTGGTTGCTGATCACGTGATGTCTACTCTTCAGTCCTTGCATCATAGCCTCAGCCACTAAGTCGATCATTTCGCTCCAGGCCCTGCTCACCCCTGGAGTGCATTTAGACTGAAGCATGTCTTGAAGTGTCCAGAGGAGAGATTCCTTTAGCAGCTAATGGGGATAAAACAAAGAGAGTGTCAAAAGGTATTTGTGCTCAATTTTCTTACAGATCGTTTAGAATCTAAAGCATCAGAAAAGATCTAGAAATTCTAATTGCGACCAGTTGTATTGTCATTATTACTTTGATGTCATTGACCGTAATGACAATTGGTCGCAATTAGCCTTTCCGAGGCTTTCTACATTGAGAACCCAAAACCAAGCCTTAATGAGGGGATCAAAACCTCTAGAGAAGTAGATCTTTTTCTTTGAAATGTTTGGTTTACTACATCAATTACATCATGTTACGTCATTGCTTGTGTATACGCCTTTTTAGCCTTGATATTATATAAGCTGTCCACTTGTTTTAATCTAAGACATGTAACTCTTAAATTAATAACGAACAACGTTTGGCCGTCCTCATGACGCACTGTCAAGTTAAAAATGTCAAGTGCGATGATATTTGAGAATAAGATTATAAGTATAACGAAAAATAACATTTTGAACTTGACAATGCTCTCATGAGGACAGCGAAACGTTGTAAGTTCGTTATTGATTTAGCAAGTTTTCAGTCTAAAATGTTTATCTAAATCTTCTCTAATTGTTAAATAAGAGCATATAGATGGCGCTGCTGGAATCTAAGTTATCAGTTTTTACCGTTCTAGCGATTTTCCGGCTATCAGATACAATTCCAGCCCATTTCTTCAACTTCAGTAAATTATTACAAACCCTCGCCATTTCTCAGCTGACGGTCAAAATTGTAACCAGTTTTCAACTCGGTTAAAGGAGCTCAGTCATGTTACTTTGGCCTCTTACAATTAAATTGAAAGAAACCCGAAAATAGTAGTTTACTTAGATAGAAAAACACCAAAGAGATAATAACGAACGATAAAGGTGCAAGGATAATTAAGGATGGAGAAGATTAACACGGATTACAAATGACGAACTTGAAAAATATAGGCTAAACTTTTCAAGGTACGCAAACCTTGACGTAGCTCTGAGAAACCCGACCCAGACTCTCCAATAATAATAACACTGACATACATCAAAGTGCTCCATTCTCACAGACCATGGTCGATGTCTTTCGCCAAGGTTTATCAAATAGTGAGTTAATTTTTCCGCGTCATTCAAAGATAGCACAGCATTTTCCAGTGCAGACATGACTTTCTTTACGTGAAGGTGAAGTGCCCGAGAACAAAGTATCTCCCTCAGGGTTAGGCCTTTAAAAATGGGAAACAGGTAAATTACTTCAGGGTGACTTCCAAACATCCTGCAATGAAAATACTTTTGTCAAGATTATTCAGCAAACTATCAGTATGCAGATACTCGATAACGTGGTTCTTACATTCGATTATGTATGATAAAGCATAATGAAATCATTTCAGAAAAGTGCAACGGTCCTGCAAAAGTTTGCCTTAATAAAAAAATCCCCTTATTAACTCACAATTTGATTAAATAACGGTATTATTTTCAATTGTTATGCACGCCAACCCACATAACTACAAAACAACCCATTTGGTAAGTAGGATGCAAAATACATTTCCACTCTGATTGACAAGCTTTTTGGAAGTCATATTTCTCGTATTTTAATTCACGCTGTATTCAAAAGTGGACGTTAGTATAGCTAATTTTTTTAGGAATTTCAATTTCAAAAGCCTTTTTGTTTGTTTTTTTCATCGAAAGAACTTTACAAATGCCTTTTAAGAGAAAAAGTTTCTGAGATATGTTAAAATTAATTGTATTTCTAATGTTGAAATTTAATATATTTATTTTAGGCTCCAATAGTTAATGGTTTTGCGAAAGTGTTTTTCGACAAAATAGCGTTAATTTATGCCTGGCAGGATGTTTTTAACTTGATATTAGTTATGCCTTACTGCCATTGAGATCATTTCGACTTCCGACAAAGTTAAATTGAAAATGGCCACTGCATGCAAGGTAGCATAATAAGATAAATTGTTTTAGAATGCCATTTAATATATGTATTTAACAGTGTATTTATTTAAAACGTGGGGGCCTTAGCAGGCCACAATCATAAAAAATAATAATAACGAGACATCGTGGGCTGAAATGTTTTTTTTTTTAAATCAATCACACAAGTTTAAAAGAATGTTCAGAATATAGGCCGGGTTTTACACCGTAGTATATCAGTTTCTGCGATTTGAAACGAATAAAAATTTTCCATGTACGTGCACATGATAAGTGCTAGACCCGGTGAAGAAGAACTTAATTTTGGACAAGATTAGGAAAAAAAAAAAAGATCAAAAGATAAAAGGAAACCATAAATAAGATCTAAGTGACTTTATTGATATTACAATCGAAAGCTTTCATCTGAGAAGAAATGTTGAAGATTTCATTCCAGATCTATTTAAATAATGGTGCATTGTAATTTTTCCAATGCAACGCTAAAAGATACCTTGATGTTTTGAAACCCGAGCACCCTAAGTGAGGGCAAAATCCACAATTTACACCTTTAAGCGACAACATGCCATTTGGCATGGGGGTACCTCCTCCCCTGAATTTTTGCTCCTTTTAACTTTGTATTTTCGAGCTAAACACGTCTTTGTGATAAACATGTATTTTTTTTGTTTATATCTACCGTTATTTGTATGTACAAATATAAAAAAATGAGATCTTCAAAGTTTGAACTGGCGGCACTACATGACAGTAAGCATTATTAACTCTTTTTGCATGAAGTTGGCTCTCTGCATTATCAGAAAGCGTGTCCACATGTACAGTTTGCCCAGGTGGAGTGTGTGTGTCTGGTAGAAGAACACCAAATGAATAGCTAATCTTACCGTTCAAACATTTTCTTTCCTGCGACAGTCTTCAAAGGCTCAACGAGTTTCCAAGATTCTCTCAAAACATTTTTCGTTTCTTCGGAAAGCGAGTTAGCATTAGATTTTAAATTTAAGCTGAATGATTCTGGAAACGTTTTTTCATTTCTATAATAAAGCGACGACGAACTTCCCATTGCGCGCAGCGAATAAGCAATGTCCCTGCCGGAGCGTCAAGATTTGCATTTATAACTTCCTTTTTATTTAATTGTCGCCTTTAATATATGATTAAGTTATTTCAGAGGGCCAATAACTAAAATCAGTCAATCGCATGGCTCTATTGCCTGTCCAATATTTAGAAAATATTGTACCGAGCACTATCCTAGTGTTTCTTTTTTAGTTTTATCGCTAACGTTTCTAAAAGAGAATTGACTTATACACGCGAAAGATTTTCCAAGTTTCTTTCGCTTCTTTGCTATTGAAACCGTTGGACGTGAGTACACACTAAAATGTCTCTCAATAAGAATTGTCTCCTTAAAGTTTACAATGTCTTTCTAGTCAGTACATGGTTGTGAATTGTGCTAAACATTTTCAGTCCTGTAATGAAGGCTAACAACAAAACTTGCTTGGGACCTTATTGGGAAAAGGCAGGCCCTTAATCGAACTGTCCCTACTGCCATTAAGTTTGTACACTCGCCTTTGTCTAATTTCTCGCACGCTGATTGGCTCATTTTTATCATCAATAAGAGCACAAACGGGTAAAATTTCAATTTATGCAAGCTTTCAAGTTCAACTTTCAGCTGTCAAACTGTCAACTTTTTAACCAATGAGATTTTATGGACTTTTTAAGTGGCCAATCAAAAAGCTAGAAAAGCTATTGACAATGTTCGCGTCATTTGGAATAAAATTTACATATCTTTGTTTACGGCAAGTTTACGGCGTCTGTTCCCCTCATTTAGTCCCGGCATTTGACCACTTTGGGGCCTTGTTGTTGTTAAAATTAAATTGACGTCAGTTTTTTATGCGTCTGTCCTCTTATTGGTGATAAATTTCGTCATAACATTGTCAGTTTACTGCGAAAACCACTTTAACAATGGTATGACGCAATTTATCATCAATAAGAGGACAGACGCATAAAAAACTGACGTCAATTTGTTAATTAGCCAATGTTTTCATGATTTCCGAGTTAAAGTACTTTGCTATCACTGAATATATCTTCTGCCCTTAACCAATGAACTCTTTCTTTCCTGGTGCTGAAGCCTGTGCAGTGTGACAATGGATCTGTGCCTTCTCTCTTTTGGCCACTGGGATTGATGGCTTCAGCTCAGTGATGTAAGCGTTGGGAATAAGCAACTTTATAGCATCGTACCCAGATCTCCTCACATATCTGGCTACAAGATTACTTCTCTTTGACAAACTTTTACAATAGTGATTTCAAGATCCCCTTTTTATGGGTTAATCGTGCAAGAAACACACTTGGGATGTTGTGAGAACGTTTGAAAAGCAATTAAATCATTCGCTTAAAGGCTCGTGATTTACTCGCTTTTCTTGTTTTCCCAACTTTATACATTGCGCCGGTAATCGTATAGAAAATATGACTGAGCTATTCAGTTTAAGAAAAACTTCACTTTAGGGTGTGCAGTTCAATAGGCCAGTTTCGAGATATTAAAATTCAGCTTGACAGTGAGGCCTAGACGACACAAACAAAAGAAATGAATAAACATGGTCATTCAATTTCCTTGTTTGTGTCCTCTAAGCCTCACTGCCAAGCTGAATTTTAATAGTCGAAAACGGTCTATTCTTTTATCTTTGCAGGTGTTAATCTATAAATTACTCGAGAATACGCTTTGTGCGAAGGAAAAATGAAACATACCCGCTTATCAAAACAACCAAATTTTTACATTAGTGTTATCGTGACTGTCTGTTAAACAAACACTTCACAAACGTAGATACACATACATGCAATGTCTGAATTTCCGAGACGTTTCCCTCGGTAACAAAACGATATCTTGTGTTTAGCAGATGACATGAATAAACATTTATTTTATCTTAGTCGCGTGTCAATCCAGTACTGCATTAAGCAAAGAAACTGTTTAGAATGTATCAGTTGCACCTAAGACGAACTTCCGAAATGTTTCAAGATGTTGCTCTTAGAACCTGTCAGAGACAATAGAAACGTCGCGTTTTAAGGTCCCACTTGAACACACAGTTTCCTCTGTCACCTTGTTACTTAAGCGTTTTAATTTTTGCTGCATAATGTGAATTTCCTGCTCTTTATTAAAAGTGAAGAGCAGACTCGGCCACAATCAATTAATGCCATTCATCAACTCATTCTCAGCTTTTTATTTCTACTTCTTAAGTACAGCTAACGTTGCACAGAGTCAATCTCATTTTAATGAAGAGAAAAGTTTCTTGCATCATACAAATACGAGACAAGCGCAAGTGTATATCGAATCTATGGTGAAGATGTTCAGAAGATGTAATCACGTTCAGTGATCTTGCTACCATCTGAACGTAATGTTTTGATGCTAAATTCCAGACAGTTATTTTTGCCACGGCTATACTTAAACAAAAACAATCACAATGCTTCGCAACGACGAACGTGATATGAAGTAGGGATGGCTGACACACCTTGAAAAAATTTGGTCATCTTTTAAAGTTTGTAATCCGTCTTAATATTTTACAATCGTGACTGCGCTTGTTTTATGTTTACTGACTATATCTTCTTTGTGATTTATCTACCTGAGAAAGCTCATATTTCAAGATTTTAAGCTTTTGTTCATATTGAAACTAGTTTTGATTTAAAATGTCGTGACGCTACACCTTTAGTCTAGTACAATAAACAATAAAGTTTCTTTTTCATCATAGAATTGTCAATCAATGCAGTAAGATCTTACTGTATTGATTGACAATTCTATGATGAAAAAGAAACTTTATTGTTTATTGTTTGAAAAAGTCCTGCTCCATGGCAGAATGGCGGCATTGACGATTAATCCGGCATTGACGATATTTCGTACACTATGTGTAGTATACACGTGTAATCAGCATGTGACATGGAGGAACATTGTATATTTGGCACGCCCCCTACCCCTCCTTCGAGATGCTCAATTTCAACTGGCCATAAAATTTCAATCAAGCTTTCCACACTTCACATTTTTATTAAGTTTCTCAGTCACCCAAAGGGAAGATTCATAACTCATATCCGTGCCACAGTACAACGACCACCGATAATCTATGTTTGCCTCTCTTTCACAGCATTTTGTTCCTGTGATCCACAAAACTGTTTCATGTTCCCATTTTTCCTTAAGATTTTTTTCTTTTGTCTCCTTGTTCCGGCTAAAACCCCTGGGAGACCCTCAGAACTTTAGCAACTTTGACTTGTTAAGGCAGTGTCTAGGTGTAGCTCTCGTGCGTGTCTGGTCCTTTCCACAAAAGAGAATAAGGTGTTTGTTCACAATCAAGTTTTAATCAGAAAGCAATCAAGAACCTTTACAGATTATTCTAAGCTACATCGAGAATGATACCTTTATGTGGAAAATAAGGAGATATATTTGACATATTTTCTTCTTTAGCGATTAATTACTTTTTAAGACCTCAGTGGGACATTTAAAACCAAAGTGTGCACAACACCACGCGGTTTAAACATGTATAAAACGAGGAAGGTTGAAAGAACAGGAAACGTGGTGTTATATTACAGCAAAAGGCCACATTGTCGAATATCAGTTAATTATCTAGGTCGATCACGTTTTGCACGTGAGCGTGAATGACAGTTGTCAATTAGTTTTCCACAACTTAAGTGATCATTAGGCGCCACTGGTCAACAACCCATTCTTAAATAAACCTCCTTATTTGTTCTTGGACGAGTTGCTTGAATGCAAGTAGGAGTTTCTAGGCTCAGGGCACGATACATTGCGTGATGGCATGCTAGTCCAATTCAATCTGGAAGAATGTCGAAGTTTACATGCATGATTTGCGATTTTTCAAAACCGTACAGATACTGAAAAACACTATTCCTTGCGAGACAATAGCTACACTACTGTTAATACTAAAATTTGATGTAAAGGATTGCTCTTAGCCTTATGAAAGCTAAACCATAGCACATAAAGTCCCATAGCGATCTGTAAGCTTAAAACGTTTATACTAGTTTCACTGTATGCTCTTATCTTTCGCTTAGAAAGTTATCGGATGCTCGTCCTGTCCAGAAATTGCCAAAATTGCCTATCTGCAAAAGATTAACGTTCGGTCAAAAAAATTTCAAAAATGTATATAGCGTGGTGGTTTTAGGTTTAGACATGAATAGATACTGATTAAATTGAGACAAAGTTTGATTTCAGAATTGCCTGTTGAGAGGCTAACAATAAAATCTATTGTTTGGAGGTGCTTAAGATTTTCTATTGGTTTAACAAACTGTGTCGCAAGATGTACACATTACTTCACAAGAAAACTAGAACGTTGAAGCGAATGAAAACCTTGGTCGTTTCCATAAACGAAGCACTTGCAGAAAAAAACGAATTATGCAAGGTCAGTTTGTGTTGTAGCTTTGGTCCTAGCCAGGGGGCACTCTCTAAAATGGACTAAATTTAGCGGGGGGAGGGGAAGCTCCGCCCAGCTGTTGCAGCTTTTCCAGGCTGGAGGTATGTAAAGGGGTAGGGATTTGACGAGTTTAACGGAGCCACGTCACGGTTTGCGTATCTTGAAAAGTTAAACCTAAATTTTCAAGTTTGTCGTTTGTAAACCGAGTTAATCTTCTCCATCCTTAACCATCCTTGTTCCTTTATGGTTTGTTATTATCTCTTTGGTGTTTTTCTAGCTTTCAAACTACTATTTTCAAGTTTCCTTCAATTTGTGACTGAGCTCCTTAAACCAGATAAATGGGTAGAAAAGACTGCTATTAGGTATTCAGTCAAGTATTTTAAGACCTTAGTCAATCTAAGGTTAAAGAAAATGGATGCAATATGGCTGCTGTAACTATGTGAGGGGCTTTATTTTATATGGGAGATATACGAAACGCTTACCTTTCGGTCAAACATCGTGCATAACAGGATAAGAGTTTAGATCGGGACCTCCCGGCTTCAAACTTTATCGGACCCCCCCGGGTCATAAGATATTTCGGACAATACTTGTCTTAGAGCTAGTCCGAGACAATTGAAACGCTTGATATAAGGAAGCGCACACAATGCATATCTGCTATCATGTTACCAGCTTGCGATTGCACAATCGACATTGTTTGAGTACTAGGATAATGACACCTGTCACGCGAATTTCGTAACTCACACTTCCTGAAGACTGAAAAAATATCTGTAGCGAGGTATCTGCGTTAAATTTGTCCTGTTTCAAATGCTATAGAAACCTTTTTAACTGGTTGGCCCTGATAAAAAAGATGAATGTTCTCTCTGGAGTCTTTCTTCAAAAGACACGAAGCCCTCGAATACCTTTACGAATACAATAATGCAAAGGTGTGCCTGGACAGTTCATTAAAGGTTTAAATTATGAATAAGCGTTCAAGACTCGGCTGTATTTGGCAACGGAAAACTCTTCACTTCCCGCATTAAGTTAAAAAATGAGCTAATGTGAATTCACTCATACAGAAAATTAATCCTTTGTGCGAGGTTAAGGACAAGACACAAATCTCATAAACACAATAAAATTAATTGCTCTAAACAAATTTTGATCATGGCCCAGTAACCACAGATTGACAAGTGTAGTAACACGTTACCAAAGACTCCAGTAAATTTAAGAATTTCTTTCTGTCAGCCTAATGAAATTGAATAGCAGGATTTTCTGTTCTCATGCAAGTTATAAACTATTAATACACACTATCGACTATTTAGATACTAATTCAAAACTTTGCTTATTTCTGTAAAAACAGTGATTCAACTATATGCAGATCAACTGCTGCTTTCATCTTTTTCAAGTAATTTCTCTCATTTAACACAAACTTACACAAGAAACTTCCTAACGGTTTACGTCCGCAACCGTCGAACCGTCGCAGGTACTAACTCAGATTCGGACGAGATTCGATCGTGTTTGGCAACCCATTAAATTACTTTGAATATGATGAGACGAGATACTAGTTTAATGGTTTCTTTGTGAAGATCTAATTTAACTGAGAGTTCTGCAATTTGAAAATTTCATAATGTCCATGTATATATAGATATGGAAATTAATTAATAAATCGTTATTACATGATCTTTTTTGCAACAGATTCTAGTTTTCGTCGGTTGAATTTTGATTGATTAACGATGAAAGTTTCCTTTTCCTAGATCCATATAACTTACACCTGCGTACAGTTAATCCGAAAGGTCGTTACTTTTAAGTTGATAGTGTCATTGAGATAAAATACATAGCGGAAGCGCAATATACAAAATGGTATTATTCGGCCCTTCACGCAGTTCGCTTTCCTCTCCATTGCAAGACGCCTGCCTGGGGGGGCTAAAATGTCATCTGCAAACTCCCGCCCACCACTCGATGGAAGTGAGGCTTGTTAGCCGAGCTAATTCAGCGAACTAACTCGGTGTATAAGTAGTGCTCAACGGACAAGCCAGGGGCAGCCCACTACAATGGATCCCAAAACATTTCAAAGTTCCAAGCGCAACACGCTGATTAATTTTTGCCAACTGAGCTGCAGAATTGACCCCACGTTGGAAGAAACTCTTTGTGATATTGACGAGTTTATTCAGTCTGAATTAGGGTTTGCATCTCCTATTGCGACAGAGCCACTTCCAGCCGCTGAGTTGCATGAGTTACACTCCCCTCTGCAAACTCGGGAATCGTCGAATGGACCACTGCTAAGTAATTCGTTAGGTGAGCACAGGTTTCTTAAGTGTATCACGCGGGGTATTGGACACTTAACACAGAACACAGCCCATAGATAACTGAGATTGTTAACGCGACATTGCCTTTTGTCATCTGTAAAACAGTTGCCATCTTCTAACTCGCTTGGGAGTAAACTCTCTTAAGCCGGTGAAGGGAAACCCTGGTCATCCTACTGCCATTTGGGGTTTTGACTATGTTATTTTTGCTAATATTTGTTTCATATGCATGGCCCAACAAGCTTGTAGATTCAAACACAAACATGTGTAAATGCAGTTTTATTAGCTTCACCATGCATTACCGCAGCCCTGCCCTTGAACTTAGAGAGTTTGCTTTCACACAAATGCGTATTTTCATTAGTTTTCTTTTTGAACTTAAGCGTAAAACGAGATAAACGAGGTGTAGTATTTTCAATCCAGTGAATTGAGAACACAACTGAATGCAATTTGAGATTCGTTGTCTCAACAAGGCCATTATGATTCATAAAAGCCTTGAAAAAGCGTCAGCTTCAGAAAGTGTAGTTCCCTTTGCAATGGAAAACGTTTCTATCCTAGAGGCTTTTCGTTCATATGTATGAAGTAACTCGTTTGTCTTGAGAGCTCTGGTAAAATGTGGTCATGATTTTCAGGAAACGTGGCAGCCGCTAGCTACATGTACAATCCCGACGCGTCAGTCAGGATTCCCGAGGTTGAAGTAGAAGTTCAGATCATGGGACTCAAAGACGTTTACGACAAAAAGACCAGGAAGACTAATGAAGGACTAGAATATCGTTTGGAAAACTCAGAAGTGACTGTTGTAATACAAGCATCTGATGAGATCACCAATGTTCAGGCGTTTACTCAGAGGTGTGCTGAAGCCGCCATTAGAACCCACGACACAATTGGTAGGCAATGCGTTCTAATATTCTCATGTGATTTTGCATTGGGTACAGTGTAATCGCCATTTTACCGACTTCTAGTTAAATGGCTTGAACTTCAGCGCTTTGCAGGCTATGATGAATTAAAAACGACTTCTTAATCCTACAGGCCCAGTTGAACTCGAAGTCAAAACTCTACAAAGTGACGCAAGATGTCGAGTTGTCATTGTCGATCTTGGGTCGGTGTACAAGACACAAGAGGGTGATCCAGTCTACTGGCTAGAAAAAGCAGAAGTCATGCAAAGGAACAAATGGGAAATGGTTATCGCAATGGAATTCAGTTCAGGTTTAAAAGGAAGTGTTAAGTCAGAAGCTTTCAGAGTGACTACTAAAGCAAGTTACAAGATGAAAAGAAATGGACTTAATCAAGGAGGTTTGTGTACTAGTTTTTACTTCAGGGACCTGTGAAAGCCCGCATCTAAGATATACGGAATAAGCCGCAATGTAGTCAGATGCACGCTAAGCCTGGGGAAAAAAAGTTGTGCTAAATTAACTGAAAATTAAAAAGAAATAGAGTGAAATTTAAAGCAATTGGTTGTACCAATTCATTCTGTTCTAATTTAAGTGTATTTTGGACTACGAGGGAACGATACTGACTGGTAAAGCATAGCAAATTGATAATTCAAGGCTCCATCGCTCCATACTGTTTACAAGGAGGCAGAAAAATACTATGCTTACAAATTTCTATATGAAAATTCCCTCTCGTTCTCACACAGATTTCGCAAAACTACTCTGGTTTTTTTTAATTTTTTTTTCGAATAGTAAATCACTTTGTGTTTCTGTGTTAGGATAGAATGGTTCTGTTAAGAATCATACAGTTTGGATATTCAGTGGAATCTCAGATTTCTCAAACCCTCGATTGTTCTAACCTTCCGATAACTCAAACCAAATGTCGTTTCTCTCCCCTCAGTCAAACACAGTAATCCTACCCCCGATTTATTGCGGTGCCCGATTTTTCAAAGCAATTGTCGTTTCTCCTGGGGGTTGGAGAAATCCGGATTCTACTCACGGCATATCTTTTGTTGACGTGTCAGTATGTTTCAGTAATATCGGACATAACTGATTGTTTTCCTTTTCAGATGTGCCTCATTCCGGTCAAGTGCAGCGCGTATACCGTAAAATCACTTGGTATAACAACCACGAAGGAGCGAACCTTTCTTTTCATATGAACCAAGAAATTAAACAAGGTTCGTTGATAAACGTGGCTAGATTTTGGGACTTTGCTAAAAATCAAACGTTATCTACGTTATCGAGGTTCGATAAAAACGCAATGGAAGTTTAGGAGAACGAGAAATTCTATGGGAACAAGAGCAGAAGGTTTAGTTCTCACAGCTTTTTCCGTGTGAGTCATTCCAAACGTTAATGTCTTTACAACTCGATACTGAGAAACACGGGAGAAAGTTTTTTCAGGGAACACTGACGAAACATTTGTTGAGTTCAACACGTTGATGGCTGGTTTTCGCTAGCACATAACCTTGATAGTGAACGCCTTTTGTTAGTAAAATTTCTTAACTAAGAGGCTACTTAATGATACCTTTCTCAGCTGTGTATGTTGCTTATGCATATGTGCTGTTGGAAACCAGAAGTAACATCTAGCTGGGAGAGATTTCAAATCTCCGAGATGGTCGCTTTCTTAAAGCCCTGGCCAATCTCGCAAGTAGTCCCAAGTTTTCAAATTGCGTCCGTTTGGCCAGGCTCTGCGTGCCCTTGCGTTGACTTGCGATGACTTGTGCTAACTTCGGTGGAGATAAAATTTGCACGCAAGTCGGCGCAATTTTTTCACTGTTTGCCCATCGAACCCAAGTCAGCGCAAGTTTAATGGCGTTGATAGCAAACTATTAGCCAATGAAATACAGAATATGTCTGCCTTGGATTGTTTTCTTGTTGCGACTTAGCTGTACTTGCGAAGAAACTTGCGAATCCTTTTGGCCACCCAATGCAATTCTCTATGCAAGTTCAACTTGCGGCTATTTCCGACTATTTGCGAGTCCGTTTGGCCAGGGCTTAAATCGTCGACTGCTTTATGTCAGGACAGGGGCCATTTTAAGATTTATGACTTGATTATTGCAGTAAGACTCACTTTACTGAAGTAGATGTGTTTATCCTTAGAATTTCTAGATCACGACCCCTGTGTTTTGCGCAGAGAACTTAGCGGATTTAGCTTAGAGGAGGGAGATGATTGGGACCGAGAGAACTCTGGCTCTGATTTCAATTCTTCACTGGGACTCTCGGCTGAGAGAAAGATCTTGTTTCAACATGATACAGTTTTAGACAGACATATGGTAAGTGTTTATGGCAGTTACTATACAGGTTTCTTCAATAATCTGTACCTTGTTATGCTTATTGTACTCTGCGTTATCTAAACAGTGACCAGTCCTCCGCAACAGCTACTTTTGTTTACATTTTGAATTGAAGTTAAAAAGTTTTGAATGTTTTAGCCCTTTTTGTATAGTATTAATGGAAATAGTGGCTTTCAAAGTTTCTGGGTGGCAAAAGCACTAATGGGCCCATAATCATTTGGGGTAAAATTTTGAGTTGTCACACCGGCGTAACAAATAAAGCATGAAAATACTTTAAATGTTTGGAATGGTTAATAATCCTTTTCAATAATCAGAGTTGGTATTTTTGTAGCGACTGTCAATCTGAAATTGAAGGACTTATGCTAACAAAGCAAATATTTAAAGTAAACATTGGCCTATTGATTACACCCTGGATGATTTTGACACATATATCATACTAATGTTTGTTCGTAAAGAGGTAAACAATTACCGCATGAGGTTTTCAGGGGACATGTTTATCATGGGGCCGCTTTTGATACCAGCCTATGGCTAATGGGGCTACCCTGCCTAAATAAAGATGACTTGACTTGACTTGATCATTAATTTTTATGTTGACGTAAAGGGTTATGTAAAAATAGCCCCCAAGAGATGGCTCCGGAAAATTTACTTTTTTAAGCAATGAAGCTGCATGACCGCTGGCCAACGGGAATGTTCTTGCGCAGATTTGATCTGAAATAGCAACTGATATCGATCTCGACCATTTTCACCTGAAACGGGAAATGTTATACTTGTCTTAGGTATGTTGTTTAGACGTAATAATTATTTTTCTCGTTTAATGTCGGAGAATTTGAACCCCTTTCCAAATGTATACGTAAATTGAAGCTATTCCAAGCATTAAAGACGTGTACTAATTTTAGAGGTATAAAATAGGGTATGACTTTTGGGACAGGTCTGAAGTAAGATCTCGAAATCGCATATTTTGGTCTAGAATAGTTAAGGATTACAAGAAACGAGCGCTAGCCACACACCCCTGCGAAAAAATTCAAGAGAGCATCATCCCAGGGGTGATACGCATCCAACAACCAGTGGAGATCCGTTGGCATAGGAATCGTATACGGTTCTTTTTCTTCCTCAGTCTTTATTTGCTAAGAGAACAACTAAAAATTGGATTCAATTCTGCAGGTTACAGCGTATTACGGTCACAATCCAAAGATTCACTATGTTGTCGAGCAGCCTGGCTTTCCTGGTTTGTTGAAGTTGGTCGGGAAGCGATCTTTACGAGTCAGCGCTCGTCGCAAGGCCAATGGTCACAAGAGCGCTGAGGAAGACTTCTGGTGGGCCTGTGGGCATTGCTTTTTTGAACGTCGCAAGAAATCAACCATTAAGGCTCATGTCATTCAAATGGTTTGTCAAAAGTCAATAGAAAATAAACAATCAAGAAGAAAAATAACAGGCCGTCAGCTAAGTCAGAATGACCTGGAGGGATACAAGTTTGAGGGGTATTCCTGGAAGCGCTCTTTTTCTGTGTGACAAGCTGACTAAAGGTCAGATGTTATCCCATGTTTTGATGTCCACATGGGCATTTTGGAGAACAATGATTTAAGTTGTATGACATTGTGATGTAACAATGACCTTATTATGACGTAACAATGATCATATGTGATGATGACGTCACAATGACCATATGTAATGATGACGTCATAATAATCATATGTAATGGTGACCTAACAAGATCATATGTAATGATGACGTAACAATGATCATATGTAATGATGACGTAACAATGATCAAGTGTTATGATGACGTAACAATGATCATGTGTTATGATGACGTAACGACAGTTATATTGATTTGTTGTTCAATAATGTGGTGCATTGTAATTCAAGAAACTGTCATTGTAAAGTGATTATCGAGTTACACTTTTTCGCTGGCCATGAAAACTCGTTGACATCAATAGCAAACCCTGTTGGTGAAAGTTATCTACCTGTAAATACTTTCATATTACATATCAAAATTACTTCGGTGCACATAATACTGTTGTTCAAGTAATGTGCAGTGGTTTATGATGAATTTTGAAATGTTATATATGACGTAGTTAAGAACATCTCTTCAAGTTTTGTACGCTTTCATCAGCTGGAGCTGTTTTTTTAGCAAGTGGCTGGTCCACTTAGGTATTCAGAAATGTTAATGTATATTTTTAAAAAAAATCAGTGTACAAAAATGAGCGAGATGATTTCCCTTCATGTTTTTGAAAGATCCAGTCGCAAAATGCGAATAGATTAAACACCGCTTGTTAGACAAAATAACGTCCGCTTGTGATAGGTTTATTGTGTTTAAAATGAAGCTTCTTTATTTTTGTAATAATTTTGCAGAGTATTGTTTTTAGTATGTTTTGCAGTTTTAGTTTGTGTACCTATAAACTGGATAGCTACATTGATATAACTTATCGCGCAAACAGGCTACTTGAAATAATTTGGTTTATTGATTGTTAGGTAAACAAATCAAATTAACTTCTCGAAGGATTGAAGAAGAGAGGCCCACAAAAATGGCGTTTTTTGTTGTGGGCAAAAACTTCCTTGCTCTCCAGATATGAGTTTTGTGTAATCTTGGTTAATGTCTGGCTTCTGCTGGTCCAAGGAAGCTTGGTCATAGCAAATAAAGTCCACGGTTGGCACGATGTATGTATGCTTTCGGTGTCGCTGTACATTTGATTTTGAAAAACACTAAGAGCTTTAATTTTTTCCTTTCCACAATGTAGAAGTGCTCTATATATCACAAACGCAATTGTGAATGTTGCATTGTGCATTATTTTATAGCGTGAAATTATCTTTTGTTCGTAGTCTGCAAGTTTTCGAGCCCTTTATCTAATTTTTATGAATTGACTGGTCACGTGATGTACGCTCTCCTCAGTCCCCTCATCATAGTTGCGCCTATAAAACGAAACAGCTCTCTCCAGGCCTCCGTAACCTCCTCAGTACACGCGGATGAAAGCATGTCTTGCAAAGTCCAAAGCATGGCATCCTCCAGCATCTGTTGGCTATAAGCCAAACTCCTGCCCTGGGTCCTCCTGGATTTAAAACCCAAGATGGCGGCATGTCCAGCCGCCATCTTGGATATAAGCACCAAGAGGGCCCATGGGAAGAGTTGGGATAATGCGATAATTAACAATTAATGAACATTGCGAAGTAGTCTGGCTTTTAATTGCTATTGCACCCTGAAGAAGATCTTATTGTCTCAATTCTTTTGTTAGGAATGTTTGTACATATATTTGTAGAGGAGACCTCATTCCCAAGAATTGAAACCGTTTTTACCTCGCTTTCTCATTTCCCATTTTGTATCTTTATTGTTAATCTCCGGCATAAACTGCTTGCAGAAAAAAGAATCCGAATCGACATAATACGAGGACACAACGAGGCAATACAAGAAAGATTCTGGGTAGATTCCCATTAGCTGCTAGGTTTCTTGAAACGAGCATGATCTTCATCAGCTTCTGTCACGCATTGGGACTCATAGGGCCTTTTAAGGCTTTAAAAGAGTAAAGAGGGAAGGCGGATAGCATAATTACAGTATGATAGCTGCAGTGAATTGTAAGCATGATGTGTCGTTTAATTGGAAAATTAACTGCGATGATCATTCTTCACTTTCATCTACAACCGCAGTTCTTATATGAATTATTTCATATAAACTTNTAGAGCATCGCACCGGTATCGCGGAGGTCACGGGTTCGAATCCCGTTGAAGCCCTGATTTTTTCAGGCTTCTTCTTTCCAATTGCTTAAATTGGAAATTAACTGCGATGATCATTCTTCACTTTCATGATGTGGAGATTGTTAGTTGACAACAAAGTGACAACACGGGGCGTAATACTGACATTTAGGGGCACAAAAGTTAACTTCTAATAAGGAACCAAAATGTTAGCAGGGCAAATGGGCAGATTTTGTTGTGACAACTGTCTAAAATAACTATTTTACGATAAGTGCAGAAATTTTCGCGCGCTCATTGGCTAATTTTCATTGTCAATAAGCGGACAGACACGTGAATTTAAAATTCATGCGATGCATCAACGAGCGAGAGCAGACAATCTGAAAATTTGTTATTCTAAAAATCAAATTGACGTCAGGTTTTCATGCGTCTGTCCTGTTATTGACAATGAATTTCGTCATAGCATTGTCAAAGTAGTCTGCGGATCGGATCAACAGCTACTTTGACAATGTTATTACGAAATTCATGATCAATAACAGAACAGACGCATGAAGAACTGACGTTAATTTGTTAAGTGTACCCTTGCCCTATTTTCATAACAGTAGTATACATACATCAAAATGTTCCATCTTCAAAGTCCATGGTAGGTGTCTCTCTCCAAGGTTCATCAAATATTCTGTGAAAACCTCCGCGTCGTTTAACGCTAACACAGCGTTTTCCAGTGCACCCATAACTCTTTTGGCGTGAAGGTACAAAGATCGAGAGTTGATTATCTCCTGCAGTAACAGGCTCCTAAATGCAGGGAACACTTCTAGCATTTTTGGATAGGATTCAAATAGTCTGAAAGCATGATCAAATATGTAAGAGGTGTTAGAATGCATAATACGAGGTATTGCAACTTCTGCTATTCAAGAAACCAAAATACATTTTGATCAGCGTCTGAGTGAAAATTTGACTATCTGCATTTACTATATAACTGAGAAAATTACTTCACTGTGATTGGCTAAGAGCAGGTCAATTTATCGTTAATTTTTAATTTGTACTGCGTTTAACGCGCGCGCTTTCGTGATTCCTGTCATGTAATTAATGAGTAGCCCTATGAAGGTTCGAGCAATTAAGGATTTATAGTACTCGTGATATTTGGAAATTCTTTCAAATGACACTTGCCTAAAGCCTCGTACAATTTTGAGAGAATTTTCAAATATTACTCGTAGTGTAAATCCTTACTTACACTCGCATTTATGCGATTACCTATATTAGAGTAGTATTTGCGTGTCTGTATTTTACAGACCAGGTGTCTGTAAAAAGACGTTCTGTAATATATATATTAATTGTCCCGTAAAAGCTTTTCTCAAACTCATTTCATTAAACAACTCACGTTTAAGCAAAATAAATCATGACTGCGACAGTGTCTGGATGTCTGATCATAATTAGCATAGAATTTTACGATTTTATTTCTCTGTTTTTCTCCTTACTCTTAGTTTCGATCGAGAAGATGTATCAAACAAGAAAGATTGTGTTTGACCACATTTCCAAACCCCTCGAAGTTCGTCAAAAATACTCCGTTGCGCGTCGTATTTTCACCCCTCTTCTCAGTGTTTGGAAATGTGGTCAAACACGGTCTTTCGTGTCTGATATGTTACATATTGAAACATAACAGCGCTTTTTTGACAAGATGAGTGTTTCTTCCCAGTAAATTAATTCGTTCTGTTGTGGAATATCTATTCGCCGTTTTAAAAGTTGCACTGAATTTGAGCATAAAACAGGTGGTTTTTTTTTGTAATAAATAATAAATTATTGCTTCCGGCACTAGTATTCTTGAAATAAACACAGTCGATGGCGATTATGAAAGTTTGCCAAATTTTGCCCCAGCGAGTATTATCTCTGGTGGCTGTGATTGGCTTCTTTTACAAGAGGGATATCAAAACTGATCCATTTCCTTACCCATTACTTCCAATAAATTTCATTTTACCAATCGCAAGCCTTGTTTCTTTGTGGCAATTTGTTCAAAGTTCATGTTTTAGCAGCACAGTACATTTCAGAATTGTGATTTCATGTTAAATGCAAACCCGTCTCCCGGGCAACGTGGTAACTTAAACCTTGTCAAAAGTAAGAAAATTGACTATTTCGTTTTCAAAAGGGAACAAACAACAATTGGTTTTGCCACCCTCAGATCTACATAGATTAAAACCATACAGCCACCGGCCGGGCGCGTCAAATCTTGATAAGGATCGCATTTAAGGGTTTTTCTCGCTCTGTATGGACTTAAAGCCGGGTGTTACGGTGACAAATACTCCCTTACACCCAGATAAAAATGCTTTACAAAATCTCCATGATATCGCTTTTATGGGTTTTTCTCGCTCTGCATGGATTCAAGGCCGGGTGTTACGGTGATAAATA